AAATACGTGTTGATTTTCATAATAAAACGATCTGTTGCCTGGCCCTTGTCTTCTGTTGTTACACTAGTAATGAAAAACACCAAATGTAATGAATTACAAATAACATGAAATGGTGGAAATCAGTAGAATCCTACTAATGATGATCTGTTTAATTTTAACTCCGCTTTGATGAATAGATCTTGCGTATATCAGTGTGTCAGGCACATTTATTATTTAAAAGCACTTGAAGAAAATCATTATCACGATGTTTAATGAAGTTCGAACAGATAGATGTCGTTTTCAATCCTTGAGTCTACACCATTTGCTTCTATATCTACTACTGTTAGCATTAACTTAATTGATCAATATCACAATAAAAGATCTTGAGTCAGTTGCATAGCTCCTTTATGGAGAGTTGAGTGTACTTTATATGCATGGATGCAATGTTAGCGTATACCTTTATAATAAATTCTTCCTTTACAGAATGATTCAGTGAAAACTACCTTGAAAACTATATAAGGAGAAACAATAAAGAAATAAATTTCTCGTGTTCCTCCTACGTATTTGTCAAGCGCTATAGCTTTCTTTCCATGACGATAGCTTTGAATTAAAGCCAAACAATATGAATTTCTGTATTTCATAAGTGGCAAAGTCCTCCATATAAATACAATTAAATTATTGTCATTTGTTGGTTCTCAGGGATTTGATCACAAACTGAATTCAGTTGGAGAACCACTGAAAACTAGAGAGTACTGGACAGCTGTTCCGTCCTTGTTTGAGAGTCTTCATAAGTACGCACGCAGGACCTTATCGTTGGAGTCCTGGTTACAAGGTGAGCTCGTAGATCCCTCAGCCACTAGGACCGAAATCCAATGGCTTCTGAATTCTTAATTCCGTCAATTCACTATACTTTAGCGCGACTACCAAGCAGTGTCACGTGTTCCGCTGAAGAATTGTAACTACATGTGTAACAACAGAAGACAAGGGCCAGGAAACAGATCGTTTATTTACGAAATCAACACGTACTTATAGATTTTCATGTACATTATTATAGATTATTGTAAGTAAACAAACACAGTCTTCTGATTGGTTGTTTCTCACTGAAAGTTAACCTTGCATCTCTTTGTGGCTGTTCCTTGAATGTCAGATCATCTATACGCTAACTGTATCCGCCTACACAAAGTCTTTGTTCTTATTTTTCTCACGACCAATATTGAGGACATAAACATTGACGTAAATTACTGTCTAGCAATTTTGGCTAGCAGCCAACTCTAACCACACATGGACGAAACATCCTTTCAGAATTGTTGGGTTTTTCCAATGGTTGTCTAAACTACGTCATGTCGTTATCAAACTTTTATCTTAGATGAATTTCAAACCACCGGAAAAAATCTCTCCATAACTAGTAATCTATAGTTTTTAGAGATTCTTCACTGAAAAGTATAGTTGGTTGGAAAATCTAGTGTTATATTGGTAAATTTTAATGATCTTCCTGATCGCAGTAGATTGGATAATGAAACAGACAACGGGCAATGAGGAAACAGGCATAAAATGGACTCACACAAAACAAGAACTTGGAGGATCTGGACTTCACCGATGATATATGTCTGATTTCCCACAAACTAGAAGATATGCAAGTGAAAAGCAACAAGTTGGCAGAAGAAGCATCAAAGATAGGACTTCAAGTGAACATAGATAAAACAGAGGTGATGAAGATTCCTGGCACCAACAGCAACAACAACAACAACAGACAGCAATCAGCCAGCATAAATGGAGGGAACCTGAAAGGAACAACCTCCTTTATCTACCCCTCTACCTGGGAAGCATCGTTTCAACTACAGGCGGACGGAACTGATGAGGATATCAAGGTAACGAGGATTGGGAAAGCAAGACAAGCTTTCATTAGTCTTAAGTCTGTGTGGAGGTCAACAGCACTCAGCATCAACTCTAATGTGAAGTCAGTCAGTGCTACTTACTATACAGATCAGAGAATTGGTGCGTCGTAAAGGGCATCTTAAACAAACTACAGATCTTCATTAACAGCTGTCTTGGCTCAATACTCAAGATCAGATGGCTGACCAGAAAAGATCAGAAACAGGGATCTCTGGCAATGAGCGAACCAACCAGGAACCGATTGTGAAACATACACCCAGGAAGAAATGGAGGTGGAATGGATTGGCCATACTCTGAGGAAACCATCAAGTAACATCACTAGACAAGCCATTGCTCGAGTGGAACCCGAAAGGGAAACGGCGAGTTCGTCGTCAGTGTAAGGGTGACTTGGAGGAGGTCATGTGAAGAGGAGATGAAAGCATGTGGGCAGACTTGGAGCGGAGTGAAAAAGTTGGCAGAAAACCGAAGGCAATGGAGACGCGCAGCTGAAGCCCTATGTTCCTCTAGGAATTAAAGGATATAATAATAATAATAGTATATTGGTAAATTTTGGTTTTACTCCTACTCAAGCTGTGGTCATGTTCAGTGATTTTATGGAGAGTGAGAGACAGAGAAAACACCTAATCAATCTGTTTAGTAAATACAGAAAATCAATACTAATTTCTGTTTAGTTCATCGATTGTGTAATCACTGTATGTACGTGCCTTTCATTATTGTAATGACCAAGTATGATTATACTGCATACCAGCATAGAAATTTCTTATGTGAATAAATGAAAGGAAGTATGTAATTACTATTTTCTGTTTACCTGTTATATGCAGTGAAGACATAATCATTACAACTGTGAATTAAGCGTTCATATAAGGCAGGCAATCACATAACCCCGTCCCAGCACATTTGATAATGTGCTTACAAACTAAACTTCATGGGAAGAATTTTTTGAAGTTTTTCAACTTACTGGGTTTGATCCCTGTTGGGATCATGGGTGGTGAGTACAACTGATGGGTTCCAAATAACTATGAAATATCTATCTAGCTCTCGCTGGTTCTCAGTGGGTCTTTAATTGATAAAACGCACTAACTGTAACTATTTTAATTGGACACTAGGCAACAACTATTGTCCTGAGTAATATGTGTATGGTCACTCGGTTTGTGCAGACTAGATTCCATGAGTCAAATTTGTAAGGTAGCCACCATTCTTGGTGGCTTGCCATCAACGTGCACTCTGAATTTTTGTTAGATGGTTAGAGACAATCCGACAAGGAGCCTTGAAACGTAGTTTCGTACATTTTGGTACTCACTAGTCGGCAACGAGTATCTGCAATCTTGAGTGAACCCGTGTTGCAGACTGTTGATTGATCTCGTGTAGGACTGTAATTGATACCTTTACATTGGAGACTAGTTTGTTAGTAACTAATTTCATGTATCTAGTCATTGGTGTTAGTTTAAACTGAATTCGGTTACAGCCAGATTTGCAAGGCGGCTGGCTCCCTGTCGATATTCTCCAACCATCTAACAGTATTCGTGTTTGCAGGCGCTAACAGTTTTAACGGTAATCTTCAAGTATTGGTTTTGTATAGAATTTTGTTTGATTGGTTGGAGGATTTCATCATGAGCTGACATCAGTTGGAGAACCATTGGAAAACCTTCAGGAGTACTGGGCAGCAGTTTCGTCCTAGTTTGTGACTCTTCATCAGTACACACCTCCGTTGTAGTTCGAACCCAGGACCTTCTGGTTAAAAGGCGAGTTCGTAGACAATTAAGCCCACTGGTCGCTATGTCATTAATTGGCAGAATTTGGAATTCCTTGGTCATTGGATAGGGTCCCAGTAGCTTAATTGTCTGCGAACTCGCCTTTTAACCAGAAGGTCCTGGGTTCGAGCCGTGGCAATAGGGTGCTTACTGATAAATAGTCTCAAACAAGGGCGAAACAGCTTTCCAGTACTCCCAGCTGGTTTTCCAATGGTAATCATTTCTGAGCGATATTTAATAAACCTTCGCAATTCATCCATTGAAATCGTAATTTTTGCATGACGCGTAATACATAAGACAGTAATTAGTCAGACACTAAGATGAAATAAAATAACTAAATTCAGTGATGTAACATAACTGAGTAGAGCTGCGAAACAGTAGAAGACGAAGGTCTTGATCTTTTCTGGAATCAAATGTATCTCCCCACCATTAGATGTCTTTATGCCCATGAACATCCCTTTATATACGACTGGTAAATCTTATCAGTAGCACTCGCCACAGCTGTATTATGGTCGAATGAGGATCAAGTTAAAATCAGTATTGTAAGGAGAGAAAAATCCAAGATAGACAGAAAAATTGATGAAATTAAATCAATATAAGATTTTTAAAAATTACGCATCAAATTTTCATACAAATTTAGATTTACTATAAGTTAAGTGGCTGCGTTCAGTAACAAACTTCTTCTACTTGAAGAGCTCTCGTTTTAACAAGTGGATTGCCAAAGTTTTTGAGGTTTATTGGGATTTTTCCTTAATTTTAATTCATCCAATTAAAAAACACTTTCTTCTCCTTTCTCACTGTTACATTTCTACTCCTATTGATAGTGATCTTAACTTGACCCTTTATCAATCTTACTTGAACTCTATTCAGTCCTGCGAATTATGTTGTGTCATTTGACAGACTAACTAACTTAGTTTCAGTTCCCACCAGATTAATGCTTTCTGTTTTGCAATTGTTATTTAAAATATACAATTTGTCAACAAAGAGGTAACTGGATGTCACGATGACCAATAACAATTGGCACTCTTTATTATTGTAGATTTTTGCCTTCATCTAGAGGAGAGACATTGGTTGACTGGCTTCCCGAAAGCGTTCACCAGGCCGTATCATTCCGTCTCCCCAACTTCTGTAAGTTTGTGTAGCGATCAGGCTGATTTCCCGGCATAGGGTTGCAAGTCCCACACCCAGCTTTCCCTCTTGTCCCCTGGGCTTAGGACCTGCTAGTAGACTAGGCGAAAGGACACAATATAATGGGGTTGTGCTGTTGAAGCGCTGTGAAAAGGATCAGTTAATTTCGACCAATATTATTAAATCGTATGATGTAATAAAAATGAATTGATCCTTTCATTTGTAATCTTTCCTTTCTTGTCAATTCAGGATTCCAGTGTATGGAAACGTGGTGAAGTTGTATGCTCTTATTCTGCAGAATATTATAAACAATATGATAAACCGCCTAATCCTTTGAAGACAACGTCGATGTTAACAACAAAATCCTCTGATATACACCAAGAAGAAGAAGAAGACAGAATTCATTCCAGCGAAATAGATCCAAGCGATGAAAACAGTACTGAAGGTATAACAACAACCACTGATGCTGCTGCCGCTGGTAGTGGTAATCGTCGACGTCGTAGACCTAATCAACCTAAAAAGATACGTCCGTGTAAAAAACAAATCAGTATGCAACGACGTGAAAGTATGCTTGCAATAGCTGGAAGTGAATTGCCTTTTTTGCAGACAAGCATAAATAAACCTATCCATGAAAGTTAATCAATCAACCCTGACTATACACTCTTCAATGAAGTGCATGTCTTTCTCTTCGTTTTCTTTTTTTATTTCTACACTTCTTGTATATATTATATATCCAATGTTCTCTTTCTTGAAACTTGCTTTCAAGATTTTGTCGTTTATTTGTATCAGTGTTGTCAACTCTTTGTAGGTCTGTTTGTGTGTACTTTCACACTATTAACTAAGATTTGTGATATTTCATAATATCTGTAGATGTTATTATTATTATCGTTTTTATTTTAATTATTTGTAAATATACTCTTGATTAAGTTGGTGGTTCTTCATATTCAACAGTGTTCGAAGAATATATAACTACTGTTTATCAAATCTTTTTTTCCTCGTTTAAAAATATTGATTTTGATTGGACACTAGTAACTAGTGTGACGTTTCTAGTCCTTTCTTTGGTGCAGACTGAATTTTATCAGTCAGGTTTGCAATGTGGTCACCATTCTAGGTAGCTAGACATCACGGTGCACACTGATTTGATGATATTAGATGGTTGGAGGCAATCGGCAGGGTTCGAATCTCAGAAGGGATATGAGTAGTTCCTTCAAGGTTGCAGATACGCCTTGCTGACTGATGAGTGCCACCTAGCGCGAAACCTAGGTCCAAGGCTTCCTGCCAATTACCTCCAACCATCTGATATCAACAAAAATTGATTATTTACAGATATGCACTGTAATATTATTATTACTACTGTAATTTGTTACTCATTACTAGTTAATCCAGAGAAATCTGAAAGATAGAAATTCGGCAAGGTTAAAATTGCTATTGAGTGAGAATAAAGGTATTTGAGTGTCAATTTAACAAGTGTGAAGAGGGTGTGAAAATATACAAAAGGAGCATATGCGAGTTATAATAGTGAATGAATTATTAAAGCAAAAGCAAACTAAAAGTAAAATTAAAAAAGAAAAGAAAAAATCAAAAAATTTTTTTACAGGGAACGACTTGTGAAGAGGTTAAGACCAAGGTAGAATAAGAGACTGGACAAACTTTTTCTGTATACAGAGTTCAGGATTGTAATGACGAATTCCCAGCGCCTCCGTCATACACAAAAGCCGAAACCTGATGCCCTTTGTACCATTTGGCCTCACCTTGTAGATGATCTTGAAAGACGACTCTGGCAATGGGGTCACCATTGGGTCCTTTTGCTTGCAAACTGCTTCTTGGCAAGTTTGAAGAATAGTATTTTACGACCTACTATCGATAGTTTCTATTTGTACCAAAGATACATGGATGATACTTCCATCATATGTGACGACAATACCGACATCGAATTGATAACTAAAGAGTTTAACAACTGCCATCATGCCATCCAGTTCACGTCGGAATTCCATTTTTTGCAGATTTTTCGATAAAGGAGATCTGATGGTTCTCTTCAAAGATCGATCTACAGGAAACCAACATGGAATGGTCAGTACACAAATTTCCATAGTTGAGTCACTTTGAGTAGAAAGAGAAATCTGATCCATTGCTTATCCTCAAGAATTAGGGGGATATGTTTCAGTGATACAATCGATCGGGAACTGGGGTGACTCAGACAAGTCTTCATAGAGAATGGATATCCTCCAACATTTATCGATATAAACATTACGTTAAGGAAAAAACCTGAAAGAATCCAGACGGTGCTGAAGGGACTGCTATTTGTGAGTGTTGAATTTAAAGGTGATACCGCAGATGAGATCCTGAATAATCGCTTATGCAGATCACTGAGGTAAGCCTTCTTTATGGCTGAGCTACATATCAATTTCTACAACCGACAAATGATTAACGGATGTGTGAAGGATAAACTGCCGCTTTGGGCCACCTCAATGTGTGTTTATAAAATCACCTGCTCGTGTAGAGCTAGTTATATTAGTCGCACAAAACGCACACTTTCCAAACGCATCTCTGAACATTATCCGGGATGGTTAGCAAAGGTGCAATGCAAGATAATTACGAGCTCAATACTCGAGCATTTGGTGAACTCAGGCCACGTAGCTCCACCAGAGTCGTCTTTCAAGATCATCTACAAGGTGAGGCCAAATGGTACAAAGGGCATCGGGTTTCGGCTTTTGTGTATGACGGAGGCGCTGGGAATTCGTCATTACAATCCTGAACTCTGTATACAGAAAAAGTTTGTCCAGTCTCTTATTCTACCTTGGTCTTAACCTCTTCACAAGTCGTTCCCTGTAAAAAAATTTTTTGATTTTTTCTTTTCTTTTTTAATTTTACTTTTAGTTTGCTTTTGCTTTAATAATTCATTCACTATTATAACTCGCATATGCTCCTTTTGTATATTTTCACACCCTCTTCACACTTGTTAAATTGACACTCAAATACCTTTATTCTCACTCAATAGCAATTTTAACCTTGCCAAATCTGAAAGAAGCAACCGCCTTTACCTACCTACCTGGGAAACATCGTTTCAACTACAGAACGGATGGGGATATCAAAGCGAGGATCGGTGAAGCAAGACGAGATTTTATTACTTTCCAATCTGTGCGGAGATCAACAGCACTTAGCATGAAAAAGTGAGATCTGGATTTTAAACTGCAATGTTCTACTATACGGATCAGAGACTTGGCCAGCGCGTCATGAAGGGCACTTCCAACAAACTACAGACTTTTATCAACAGTAATCTTCACTCAATACTACTCGAAATCAGATGACCGGTCAGAAAAGATCAGCACAAGGGATCTCTAGGAAGGAATCAACCAGTTGCCAATTGTGCAAGAAACCCGCATGAAGAAGTGGAGGGTGGATTGGCCATGCTCTGAGGAAACCGTCAAGTGGGTGACATCACACGCCAGGCTCTCGAGTGTAACCCAATCGGGAAGCGGCCAGTTGGTCATCACCGCGAGGGTGACATGGAGGAGGAGATGGAAACATGTGAAAACGTTGGCGGAGAACCGAACGCAATGCAGACGTGCAGCTGAGGCCACATGTTCCTCTAGGAACTAAAAGAGACAATAAGAATAGTTACCAATTAATCCATGAATCATTCCCATAATGGCGTTAGCCGGGAAAAAAAGAAACAAGTAGTGTTGAACGAAGAGGCTGTTTCCAGCGTATTCATGCTCTTCTACAATTGCATTTATGTAGAATATTTTATTTCACGAAAGAGGATATAGTAAGAAAAGTGATAAGTTATCGTAATCACAGTTGTCAGTAATTAATCACTGCATAGGGTGGGGGAGGGGGAATGTTACGTAATTAAAACAAACAATTTAATGAATGAGTTCTAACTAGGAGGCACACAATATTATGTGGAAGTTCAGGAGATATACAAAAGTTGTAAGGATTCGAAAAAAACAACAATCAAGAATCAGGTTAGTAGAAATCAACATATGGTTGGTACTATGATATAAGTGACTGGGTAATTTCCTTTCGTCTGCAGAGCTTCAGCAATACAGAGGAAACGGAAGCGTCTTGTCTTTCGCGGATTGTTCTTCCCTCTGTAGATTACTTTGAAGGAGACATTTGTCGAGATAGAATTATGACCAGTGTTGACAAGGCCTTCGATTATCTCAGTTCTTATAGAGGATTCGCTGCTATCATTCCGCAACGAAGCAGAATAGTATTCTTGAGATATTTTTGGCAGGATACACGCTGATGGAGAAATATACTTGGCTCCACAGAAATAGATTAACTGACACGCACACACAAAAGTAGTCAGGCGCGAAATCTTATCTTTCAGGCTTCTGCAGACCAATGGATACTTGGAAAACAGCATATACTTAGCGTTGCTGAGAAGAGTCTTTTCCTCAGGGATGAAGAAATTTTTTCCTAAAGATACTGTAGATTAAGTCTTCCTTGAAATCAAAAGTCAAAAGAAATCTTAAAAGAATTGTTATTAACGTGTACCATGAATGCAAATATTCAAATTTGATGGCACACTTTAGAGACAAGTGGAAGGGGTGGTAATAGGCTCCCCACTGGATCCTATGTTGGCAGATGCCTTTTTAAGTAAAACAGAGAATGGTCCTATGAACAACCTTATCAGGAAATTCTCATTTTATTGCCTATATATATATATAGGAATCATACCCTCATTCTTTGTGAAAATGATTCGAACAGGAACACAATAATCACTTAATTCAATGAAATACATTCTGCTATGAAATCCACGTGTGAAGAGGAATCCAAAAATAAAATCGCCCTCCGAGATGTCCTTCTCACAAGAAAACCTGATGGTAGCATAAACAGAAATTTGCATAGGAAAAGCACATGAACAGGACAGTGTACGCATTTTCATAGTTTCGTTCCTCCTCAGTACAAAAGAGATCTAGTAAAGACCTTCAGCCACAGGATTAGAACTATATACTCAGATGAGGTAATCGAAGATGAACTTAGGATTGCATATGACACCCTAATTGAAAATAACTATCCAGAATAGTTCATCAGGGAATATATGACTAAGAAAGTTGCCAAGGACTATTCACTATCCGTGAACTAGAAGCCTTTATACATATAACTGCAATTCAAGGGCGATATACTTAGTCAAATTAATACAAAGAAGTAAAGAAAATCACTTCAAAGAACTTTTAATGCTAGCAAACTACAAGTCTTATTGTCTACATGACCGATGGTGATTTCTCAATTGAAAGATGAAGTACTTAGATTAGCCACTTCTAATTGTATCTACCAATTCAGATGAGCTTGCGTTGGAGCGAGTTATATTGACCGCTGCTCTAGGAATTTGATTTTTCGTACCCGTTCGGGAACATCTACCAGTATGGCTAAATGAAGGTGTAGTGGAAACCATCAACAGTTCGATAATATACCACCTGGTCCAAACCGGCCACAAATCCAGCATTGAAGAATCCTTCTCCATCTTAGAGTGTTATGTTCCGGGGAGGTCGTCACCAGTGGGGTCCGCCAAGTTGGGTATCAGGACAGATAATACCAATTACGTTGGTTGACGATTACGCTGAATATCGCGCACTGGAAGAAGTTAAATATGATGGACCATTAGATTACGTTCCAGTGGCTGGATGATTTTGATTACACTGGTACTCGAAGTATACTCAAATTCGGTCGAAACAATCACTTACTTTCAGATAAGCAATTTGCATAGTCAACTAGAATACAAATCTGGCTGAAATTATCTCTGCAAGGATATAACTATTAAGACGATCTTGTAAACACCAGGATCAGTAAAGACAACACTTCTGTTTCTCCTATTTTTACGTATCAAAAAACAAAATTAATTATCACAATTTCCTCACTCAGCGCAACTCTACGTAATTATTTGATTTATTAAGGCGTATACTTCGTACTACCAAGAGATGCGCTACACAGAACCTCATAGTTTGTGCA